TGAATCATCCTCCACAAGCGAGCTTGCCATTGATCTCGCTGACCTCATAAAAGAAGATGGACCATCATTGGTGAAACATGAGTCGATTCCATGGACCGTCACAGACCAACAATCTAATTTGGGCGAGAATTTTATCAAGCACTACTAACCGTTATCAAATGATTGTCTTTCAGAAACTGGCAACACTTTTAAGGAGAAATCATACATCGCGAACTAGCCTGAAGTCTCTCTTAGCATGGTCTGGTGTAATATTGTGCTTCTATGGAATATGCCTACTCTCACAATCGGACATTACAACGAGATTATTCCGGCGAGAGGTATTACATTTACAAAGGAAACTTGCTATATGGCCCCTTGAACTCAATTTATGAGACAACCTTGGAGAGCCTGAAAGAGTCCGAATCATGTCATGTAGTTCATAAATTAGTTGCTACCTATTCCACATAGCGGGAAACCTCTGAGACACATCCATGATCGACTTTTAAAGAGCCTTGGCACCGTGTGAGGTCTTTTTGAGTAACCCTGAAACCTCACTCAAGATATTCTAACCCAGCTTTATCGGGCTAACGTTTCTCTTACATTATTCACCTTCGTTCAAATGCCTGGAGCCTGGAAAGTCCAACATAAGATGACTTACCGGGGAGGGCCGACTACCATTTCAGACTCAAGAACAGCTCACCCTACATAGACTGGTAACGTCTATGGAGGTCTCGTAGCTCATACACACACAGACAAAAATTCGGGGCACAATTCGCGATTACCTGATTGGCTAAACCCTTCCTCATATAAGGTAGCCCTGTTTGCAGTTGCAGAGAGAGTAACTGTTCCGCGTCTCAAATAGATAATAAAGGTGATAAAGCTGCCACTCGCCATAACCACCCCAACCATCAGGACCTCGCCCACGGAAGAACGACGTTGCGTTCACATTACCGTGGGACCATTACCATCTTTGTGTGACCAAGGCTGCATTCCCTCTCGTGTTTCCGTGCTCCAATAATAATGTTCCAGAACGCTGTGCCTTTGATTGTGGCGTGGACAGCTTTTTTCAACTACACAATAAGCGCTAAACTGAACAACACAATGGTGAACTGCCCGTACAGATGCGAGATCGTGGAAAGAAAGTATGTCGAATATTGTTGGGCCAATATCGAGTGGGCCTCTGTAGTAATTTTCGCTGCTGACGCTGGTGTACCCCAGGAAGGCTGAATTCAACGCGACGCTAGCTCATTGTCCACCAATTATTGCCGATCACTCTCTTCAACAAACATAGAAGGCTTGATCCTCAATAACGTCAGCCTCTCTGATACACCCCAGCGCTGCGGCGAATTGCACTGTACATATGTACTTCAATAGTCACTGTTTGCTGTCAATTATTGAAGGCGATTATGGTTAAAAAACTCTGGGATTTCTTGTACAATTTAACATTCAGAAGCGTGGACTGTCATCTAATGGTACGTCAGAGCACACCTTTGATCAGGGCATATTTTTGCGGTGTAAAAGACTGTCGGTTTGCCTACTGAGTCGACCTGCTTCATCAGCCTACCTTTCCCTCACCAAGTTTCTTCGCCGAAAACTCTTACCGTCGAGGTTGAGAGTGCGGGTAGCCATCACGATTTACATAATCGTTCAGAAAATAGTTATCACAAGAGTGCTGAGTTGTGGGCAAAAAACGAGTTTTTTTAACGGGAATCAACGAGTCAGACGAGTCTCGAGTCAACGGTTCTTTTGGAGCACGATCCCCCTCCCTCATATCGGTGGACTGTGACCCCGTTGTGTTTTACACAGTGTGGGTACTGTCCCTGCCGGCATTGGCTGGTCGTCTATCATAAACGTCACACTTTGAGTCCCGGTCGCACTTTTAGACGAACTGTTATTATTAGGTTGTCCGGAAAGTTCTCAGCGTTTTGTGCACCTATTTTGTACATTCACTGCTGATTAAAAACTCATTCTGCCTTGCTTCTCAGTAGCACATCCTGTAGAGAATTTCTTGCGCTATCTGATGGTATAATTGCCGTTTCACCATTGCTTCGATACGGCCTTTTTTTCAAGATTTTTTCAAGCATGTGTAAAGAGCACTTCGGACGAGTTTTTTCTACGACTATAAATTGAGGCCATACCCAATCGAAACAGCTCAACAAATTAACCAGGTGTGGGGCCCAATAGTGCTAGAGAAAGCACTGTGCGGCAATGGCTCAACAAATTTCGTTCTGGAGATTTCAGCCTTGAAGATGAACCTCATAGCGGTCGACCTAAAGCAATATCTGACGAGGATTTTAGGGGGATTTTGGAGGCTGACCCATCCCAAACAGTTCGAGAGATAGCAGAGAGCTAGGCCTTGGCAAATCCACTGTTGCAGATGGTCTGGAACGCATTGGGAAGGTGAAAAAACTCGACAATTGGGTGCCCCACAATCGGAGTGACCGGCAGGAATCGGCACGTCTCGAGGTTCCTTCTGCATTGCTTTTGCGCAGCAGAAACGACCTGTTTTTGGGCCGAATTTCACCTGTGATGAAAAATGGGTCATGTATGATAACAGGAGACGTTCCGGACAGTGGTTGGATTTCGACGAACCACCGAGGTAATTTTCAAAGCCGAACCCTCACGAAAAAAAGATTCTGGTCACGGCTTGGTGGTCATCGGCTGGTGTGATCCACTATAACTTTTTATCACCAGGCCAAACCATCACAGCAGAACCCTACTGTGAAGAAATCGACGAAATGTACCGAAATTTTGTCAGATGCAGCCAACACTTATCAAAAGAAAGGGTCCGATTCCTTTGCATGACAACGCCCCCACACGTTTCACAAATCACTATCCATAAATTGAACGAATTGGGGTTGAAGTTCTACCTCAACCGCCATATTCTTCAGACCTTTCGCCAACCGACTATCACCTTTTCTAACATTTTCAGAACTCCCTTGCTGGAAAATACTTCATCAATCAGGACCAGGCAAAAAAGCCTTAGTGGATTTCGTGAATTTTCGACCACCCAGTTTTTTTTGATGGGATTTCTCGACTGCTGTCACATTGGCAAAAGTGTGCTGATTCGAATGGTGCCTATTTCGATTGAATAGATTGAGTATTAAAAAAGTTACGATCGTTTAAAGTGAAACACCCAAAACGCTGAGACTTCTGAAACCTTAATAATTGATTCTCCTCATAGCTGTCCCAGCCAAATGACCCATAAATAAAACTTTCAGGGACCACGATGGCACACGGATCCCTTCCGCATACATTTTCCATGGTCGTGATATAGACGAGAACGATCTCCCCGTACGATATACACATCAACTTATGGTGCGTTCAATGTTGTTCGAGGCACCACCGTATGCTGGAAAGGCTTGGAAGAAGGTGAAACTGGAATGACTTCCATTGAATTAACGATTAATTGCACAAAACTATGTAGTGATCCAGTGAGTCGGTTCCTGTTCAGATGCCAGTCGACTATTTCAATGCGACGATGACATACAGGAATGACTCTGATTACCCTCTGCCTTATGGAAAGTTCGTAAGGCGTACTCCTCTCGACAAGGAGCAAAGTTTTTTCACAGAAAACCAGGTGATACTGCATGCCTTTAAAGGATGGGCTCGTTAATCACAACTTTTTCATATTTCATTAGTTTTTTACTGCATTGGCTCCACATTGCTTCAATTTAGCCGTTCAAGGTATTCCTAGTATCGGGGTAATTCTGCAGTGACGAAGGTTGAACCATTTCACTAGGTAACGACACTCCCTGAGGGTATAAATACAAAATTTCATTCAGTTATCATCAATGCTGTTCTAGTTATCCTTGGTGAAAGAAGATCTGATGCGACAATGTTGAGAAAATTGAGAAAACCATCAGTCAGGGAAGAAAACTGAGAAAATTATGAGCCATTACTTCTCGTTCCCCGATCCCGCGATAGCGGGTGAAACGAGTCATCTGTGCTTTGGAGTGTGTTCCTTTTCTAATATTTATTTTTCTTTGCTTCTAACTGAAGAAAGATCTTCCTGGGAAGCGTTTTTCTGAGGATGAAGAACTGAAGGGGCCAATTATCGCACAATGGGGACAACGAGAAAAAATATATTGAGGAGTCAGTTTCCCGAGAAAACAAGTGTATTGAGGTTATGTGGGATTGCACTGAAATAAATTTTATTCAGAATTTTCCGCTTTTTCTTTCTATATCTATGCCGAAAATACAATGAGCACCCCTCCTACAAGTAAAAGCAGCGCGCGCATTCAATTTGATGAGTTATGGGGCTCAGACAGTGACAACAAGGTAGCAAGTAGTTCATTAGTGAAGAAAAATGCAAAAAAAATCATCGGATATGCCCTATATAGGACCCCACGCCGAGCTGAGGTTGTACGTGCTTAAGGCGAAGAGAAGGCGCGGCCGCACGAGTTCTCACTTGTTGATATCAGCTGTTTTCCCTTATCACCTCACTCTCACCATTCGAGTGGAGAGTTAGTAGCGGAACAACCGCACCATCAGGCAACCATTAGAAATGAAGTTGGGCGTAGTGGTCGCCAGGTGGGCGGGGTGGCCGGGAGACGGTAAAGAGGATCGTAATTCGCCGCACCGCCACGCGCGGCGATGGGCGCGGCGTTTTCATAACTCGTTTTAACCTGTCGAATGAAGCACCGGACTTCATGTAGACCCCGTCATCGTAGACACTCATTACTGTTTTCGGTCCTTAATTGCATGTTGTCGCCATCTACTGCCTGAAACCATCGTCCTTTGCGGGCGGGACGTCGCACGCGACGCCCAGCAGCGCGGCAAATTACGATCCTCTTGTCACATACCCGGGGTGGCCGACTCTTCACGAGCGGGCGCCGCTATTCTCTCGCATTTTTGAGTTGCGAAACTAGTACGTCCACCATCCTCATAGGGTGAGCTACGATATCCAAAGAGGGCGTGGGAACAACAAATGAACGCGGGCACTGCCTTTAATCTTTTCTTTCAAACATGAGCTGCACTGAAAAATGCTGGAACACTTCATGGAGCGATATGGAACAAAAATGAATTGATGGCATTACGAATTCACCTGAATGTTTACTAGGATCTCCTTTAGATTCGAAGAGCTCTGAAGAGAAAAACGAAGGGCGCTCTGCTGCTTATGTCGAAATGCCTCACCAATTCCACGAGAGAGTCAACTTTACGGTAAGCCAAATTTGATTTTTTACTCATTCTCCATTCTCACGAAGCTTTTATTCGTAATATGTAAATGCAAGACATAAAGTGAATTATATAACCGCCCCGTACAGGCAAAACGTGAGGGGAACTTATCGACCTCAAGTGAGTGACCTGAGGTCCATGTTTCCCTAACAATTTGCCTAGTGTGGTGAACGCTGGATAAACCACTACTCCCAGTCATCCACTTCATAAATGTAACATAAAAAATAGAGCGTCCGAGAAAATCGGTATCATCCTTAGGTGAGTGACCTAGAAGATGAGTTTCAGGAGACTCTCGGGGAAAGTAAACATTACAATCGCTGGTCGATGTAGTTCCATGTTCCCGAAAGCCAAGGAAGTGTACTGTCCAAGGTCGGTACATGATGGATGCGAGGAAAATCTCACCGGTGCGTTCAACTAGAGCCATGTATTACTTATTTTTAGTGTTTACAAGGGAAGTGTGGTAGGCTAAAGTGGCCATTTCAAGTGCAATATTTATCCTTTACTGATCGAATATTCCGCAACTGGGGCAGTTTTTAAACGATTGCTTTCTTTCGAGGGAAATTAGGCCTAAAGCTTATCTCCGTACGTGCTTCCACCACTTGGGCAATTATCAGATTCTCTTAGCCCGAAGCTTTCTGGCTCTCGCTCCACAGGCGGCGGCCTCAAAATATCATAAGTCACCAAAATGGCTTAAAACTCCCAGGAGTAGTTTAGCTGTGGCACTTCGCACTTTTTACTTTCTGGCACTTAGTCGTTGGACGGTATGTAGCAGTAGAACAAAAAAGGAAGGCGGAGAGGTAATGGTAACTGACTGACAGCACTGGGACATCGGAGGCAGCTAAAAAGCATTTCTCATGATAGACGGAGCATCTCCTCAGAGATATCTCAATACATTGTGTTACTGTTGTATTTATCACTGCGCGTTCTGACGCTACCGACTGAAGGCGAATTTCGACCGATAAGGAGCGGCCTGTTCGACGACGGGGGCATTTTGCTTCCCATCGATAAGTCGACCCATCTAAATAACCTTTTCTTGAGTTGAAACGTTTCACCATGGTGGCTAGACGAGATTGTTACAGCTTCACCAGAGTTCATAAGTTTAACCAGAGTGAGACTTGGAAGCCGAAAGTGGTGAGGCAGTGGAAGCGCAAAATGCCTTCCCCCCTCCGTCGCCGAACTGCGCCATAAGGAGCTAATATTTTATGGAATTGAAGGCTATCATTGTCCACTCCTTCGTCGCATCATTCCAGCAACATCGCTTGGCACACCTGTGTGCGCGCTTCTGGTGAGTTTTTCTCAACCCCGTCTAATCTCAACCGAAGTTCAACGCCGCTGCGTTAGTAAGGGGCACCACCTCGATAAGTGTCACGATATGGGTAGGAACTATTGCTGAGCGCACTTAAAAATAATTTTCCTATTCTCTATCACTATCTTAGACTCCAGAGGGACTTCGATGGCTTCAGCAAACAAAATTAATCACCTTTTCAGCTACGCACAGATTCTACATCGCGTTTGAGAACAGCTTATGTCGTAACTACATAACGGAGAAGTTTTTCCATCGCGTCTCTCAACTGATGATACCAATAGTGTTGGACAGGAAGCTCTACGAAGGTAACAATGAATTTTTCTTACTACAGTATAACGGAAACTAGGAATACCCCGTAAGAGAAACCTTTATTCCCATGTTTCGCGTATTTTGCGCGTAATTTTCCAACCCAACCTTTACACACTTCGGTCTCTGGAGTTTAAAAAGCAAGTAAATGGCGCGTCGTGTAGTTGGCTATACAGGTTAGGCTGGTGGACGAGTTGCGTCAATAATTAGAGGAAATAGAGGGTTCTTTTAAGGGGTAGTGCCGTGCCGAACCCACTCTCCCCTGTGAGACATGCGGCGGTATCCGCCGCAAACAACACTGTATAATCTGTGTGCTGCTTGCCATCATCGTACTCCTCCCCTTGACACCAGCAATACTTCTAGTTGGAACGGAAGGAAGACAACCTGTCATCTGTGAAAAGGAAATACCCAAAGGAACGTCGGAAACGTTTGTAAAAGGACCACTCTAGTCTGAGACAGCTGCAAGGGTAAAAGGCAGATAAACTGCGTGCTGAATCTCGTCCAGTCGTTTCATTCGTCATAATAGGCTTTATGACTCCGCAAGAGACTATGGAGCATCTCCCTTTCATGGTAGCATTTGGCTGGAAGGCGAGGATCTCCTCTTCTTTTAGGTTGATCAAAAAGTTTTGATAGGGTTTTTTGAAAGTTCCAGAACTTTCGATTGATCGATACCAATGATCTACCATGTGGTAGTGGTAGAACATTCTATAACCTTCTCCGTAGTGGGCTTCCTCCTTTATCTTATATCACGATTCCACGAGACCATGTTCGATACATCATCTTCCGGGTGGCGCCACCGGAGCGACGGCAACCGTTCGCAACATCAACAGCGTATGGGGGAGGACACCACTTCCATCGCTACGGTCCATCGCTGGTTCGCTCGCTTCAAGGAAGGAGACACGGACTTCGAAGACAAGCCTCGGTCGGGACGCCCCTCGCCGTCGACGACTCCGTCATTCTCGACGCCGTCAAAGAGGATCCGGAAGTTAACACCCGCAGTCTTGCGACGAGACTTGGGTGTGCCCAGTCAACAGTCGTCGGTCGCCTTCAGGCCCTCGTTACAGAGAAGTGCTGACTCGATCAAGGAGTTTCTGGAGGGCCTGATTACTGCAGATGAAAGCTGGATCCTCTACGACGCTAACAAGCACCGCGCCGTCTGGCTCCCGCGAGGAGAACAGCCGCCGACGCAAGCCAAATCCGACCACCCCAAGAAGTTTCTCCTTTGCTGCTTCTGGGATTCAAAAGGAATGCTGTACTACGAACTGCTCAAGCAAGGCCACACCGTCACCGCTCCCTATTACGCTGGTCAGCTGCAGAAACTTGCGGAAGCCGTTCGAGAAAAACGGCCTAGACGAACTTTTGTGCACCTCCTCCATGACAACGCTAGGCCTCACATAGGTA